CAGCAGCACCACTGAGCTAAATCCGCAGCCCTGCAGACATTTATATATGTCAACTTGTTTCTACATTAAATTATAGGTGACATTATTTAGGTCAAAAATTTCCTCCTGTTTGCTTCCCTGATTTAGGGAATACTCTTGTAATACAGTTGGGATTTTCTTTGATGGTGTTTTACATTCTATCCTGGGGTTTCCCATATCTTCATTTTAAAAATTACATAAATTGAGCTTTACTCTGTATGCTGTAAAGCTTCATGAATTTTGATAAATATGCAGTATTCCCATAAATGTACCATACTGGGTGGTTCAGCAGTGGCAGAAACTTATTTCTTACAACTTTTGAGGTTGGGAAGTCCAAGGTTATGGTATTGGTGAGGAGCTGCTTCCTGGTTCTTAGCTTCCATTTTCCTGTGTCCTCGCAGAGCTGAAGGGACAAGAGATTTCTGTGTGGTCTCTTTTACAAAGGCACTAATCCCTCCCAGAAAGCTCTTCCATCATGACTGAATCCCCTCTCCAAAGCCTCAATCTTAATATCATCGCCTTCAGGTGAGAATTTCAGTACATGAACGTTATAGGAGCATGAACATTTAGGCCAAAGCGCCCTTGTATCCGCCGGTACACTACCTTCCCTAATAATCTCACTGTCTTAATCAGTCCTGTGTGATTGTCCTACAAACCCTTCAGCAACCACTAATCTATTTCCCACTTCCAGAATGTCCTGTGAATAGAATCACACAAAACATAGCCTTTGTAGATTAAATTATTTCGCCTAGCAATATGTCTTTGAGACTACCCTTTACATCATTTGTAACTTACTACTTTTTACCTATTGGTAGTATTCATTGTATGCTTCTATGACAGCTTCTTTAGACATTCACCTAATGAAATATATTTTGTTACAAGTTTTTTTTATTTTTTTGGTGCTTATGAAATAATCTGCCATATATATTCATGTGCAACTTTTTAAGTACACAAAGCGTTTGGCCTTTAATCACCTAAGAGTGTGATTGCTATATCCCATGGTAAAATTACACTCAGTTGCATAAGAAAATGACAAAATGTCTACCAAAAATGGCTGAACCACTCTGCATTTCTTCCAGGAATGGATAAGTTTCAGGTGTTCCATATCTTCATTGCCAATTAATCTTGTAAGATGAATTTTTAATTTGAGACATACTTAAAGTTGTGCAGTGCTATCTCATTTCAGTACATGATTTTCTAATGATAAAGAATTATCATCGTCTTTATTTTTACTTTTTTTTTTGAGACGGGGGCTTGCTTTGCAATTCAAGCTAGCCTTAAACTCAGAATTGAGTCAAAGTGGGCTTCCAACTCGTGGTGACCCTCCTGCCTCAGCCTCCTGAGTACTGAAACTACAGGTGTGTGCC